CTGCTCAACATTTTTTTCAAATGGAAACCCCCAATTTGATTATTAATTGTATCTTATTTAGCATTAAAAATAAGGGAAAGTTTGTGTAAGGTTCTCTTGTGTCCTGTATCTGTATGTTTTCACACGGCCATTTTGCGCGTCGCATTTAAATGCAATCACTCTTGATGCCATCCCGAATGTGGCCATTTTTAATATAATCAGATGATAAGGAATGTTTACACTTACCGTTTGAACGCAGTTTTACCGCAGGTCTCAGACGTTTTAAATCTGAAAAAAATTGGCTTCATCGTCAAAGAAATTTAATTATAAAATTAAACTGGCTTAACAAAATCCATAAAATTCATATTACGTTTTGATGGAAGAAAGGCTGCTTTCAATTAAAGAATTCTTAGTAAACATTTCAATTAACCAGCAAAAACAGGTAAGGCAAAACACTAAATCTTGTTTTGCTGACAGGCAACTTAAAATTATCTTCAGCTCCGATGCTCCAGCATATAAATTTTGCGACGCGCAATTTAAGAGTTAAACTTTCCAAATAAAGGGTGAAAGTTAATAAACAGCTCTATTTCAAACTCTCTGCGGCGGAAAATTCATTCCGGACCTCATTTCACGCCGTCTCAAGTGTGAATTTCGCATCGATCAGTTTTTGTGCAATTTAAGAATTACATGAAAATTAATTATTTGATTCATTTATTTTAAGGTACCGTGTAGTCTGTGAAAATAAATGTAGACCAGTTGATTGTGAAAGCAAATTTGCTTAGTAGAGTTAGTGTTTTATACAGGGTGATTCAAAATTGACATCGTTCCTTTTAAGGTGGCATAGGGGTTCACTTCGGGAGTAGTTACGGAAAAAATATTTAATAACAATTTTAGCAATATTTTGAAATGGTCCCATGTTTCATGGGAAGCCTATTGGAATACTTAAACATTCGAAAAGAAAAATTACCATCCTTGCTTCTTTCATCAATTTTTTTATATTAAAAAAGTTATCTTCTACAATTTTTTGATGAAAAGTATACGTAATAATTACGAAGCAACGGCTATTTACGTAATCTTAATTAGGCAGCTTACGTTGTAAAGAATTGTTGTCTTCCTTCTGATATAGTTTTATGCAAGTTTTTCAGTTCTTAATTCCAGTAACTGCAATCTTTTACCAGAGTTATTAACATGTATGTGCAAATTTTAACACAATAGAATTTGGCGGTTTCTCGCTTTTGTTTTTCGATTTGAATTTTTTTAAATCCTTTTTACAAACATAGCGAGTTACTGGAATCCTTCTAACCCCCGAAAACATAACATAAGTATTAAGATTGAGCCAATATTTTGACAAATGTGCCCATAATGTTGTCCATAGGACATACTTTAGCACAATGCACAAAATTTGTATTAAATATATATATTGTTAAGGATTTTATATGGAGTTTATCAATTTGTTTATGAACATAGGTAGTAAATATAAAATATAAATTAAGCATTAAAAAAAAATTCATTTAAATTTAGGTTATAAAATGCCGCGCACTTGTAAGAATTTTACAGATTGTTTTTGCTACATTTGTGGTGGGTTTGCTCTAAAACACAGCGAAATGCGATAACAGATCTTGTTAAAAAAACTTATCAGCTTTATTTTGGATTTTCCATTGGTGACAGGGATAGAAGTTGTTTAACAAAAATTTGATGTAACAGTTGTTCCAGGACGTTTAGAGGTTGGCTTGAAGGAAGTCACAAATCTATGCCGTTTACGATGCCAATGCTTTGGAGTGAACCACAAAATCATGAAAATAACTGTTATTTCTGCATGACATCAACACAAAGATTCCCGAAAAAAAAATAAAAACAAGATTGTATATCCGAACATCGCATCTGCATAGCGACCACTTCCTCGTGGTCTTATGACCACTTATGAAATATAATGTTATCATGCATGAAAACAATGAGGAAAAACATTTTTTTGTTTGCAGACCAGTGTTACTTAATATTACTAGCACATGCGAATAGCGGTAACCCTAATGAAGAGCACTTACAGAAAATAAACCATTATCTCCAACCAGTTATTGCCGGCAGATGTAAATGATAGGACCGCTCGAAACAAATCGAAAAAGAGTGATTACCAGAAATAATGAATGATGATCAAACTTTAGTAGATAAGGGAGATATGAACATGTCTAGCGATTGTGGCGGTACCTTTGGATCCAAAAGAATTTCTGTCTCACGCTACTTCGCACGTTGACGGAAGAGGTACTGTTCTGTCCTTCAACGATCGCCGCTCATGAGTAATATAAATCATCGCGTCATGACGATTCAATTAGGGAGTATGTAATTCGTTCCCAGGATTGTTCCATGATACTGATGATCAGTTGATAACATTAAGGCATTTTGTAATCAGTAGTTTATGATTTGTAGTAACTGATTTAAAAATTTAAATTATATTTGCTTTCCGATGGAAACTTATCGTATGGATTTTACAATCCAATTACGTTTATATTTTATTTCAATTGTTGCTCAATAGTAAATATTACGATATGTATGAAATAGTTGATTATTCGAATTCAGATTTAAAATATGATAAACATTAAACCTTTATAAGTTTCAGCTGAACTGTTGACGGTTAACGAATAGGAAATCCTGGCTAATCAATTTTTGGTGACGTTATTTTAGAGCGTAATTATCTCCCCTCTGGGCGTTCAGCTTATTGCTTGAAGATACAATAAAAACATATTTTGTCAACTAATTGTTCTAATAAATACTTTTACCTCTGAAACACTGCGATATTGGGAATTTTTCTATATGATGACGGAAAGTTATTCTAATCTGCTCTTTCGATTACTGAAGTTATCAAGATTAAACCTGAACCACCGTGTATAGTAGGTATATAATAATTTACGCGAGACATTAATATATTCATACAATAAATGTCAAAGCGAAATGATTTAAGTCAGAGCCTGTTTCCGCACATAATTCACGAACTTGAGTGTTCAAACATCTGAAGAACCTATGGTAACTGACAAGTGTTAAACGGTATTTCATACAAATAAAATTTTATGAAAAAATGTAACATGGAAATTTAATATCTCTATTTTATGGGCTTATTCTTCAGCGACACAATATTTCCAGAAATTTTTATTTGCAGCATCAAGAAATCATTGAAACAAAAATTACGTTTCAAATAAATCTTGTAGATAAATTAGTAATTTAATGTAGGTACTTTAAGCAGTTTGAATACGCAAGGAATTGTAATTTTGCATGCTATATAAACGGCAGGCTTCGCAAAATTATAGTGATCCTAGTGTTAGTTTACTGCCGTTATCTATACTGCCTTGTTAGATGGAATATTGAAAATTGTGAGACCATAGTTTGCTGACCATAAAAGGGGAACAAATGGTCGTCTTGAAATGGATATAGTAATAACATCTAGGGATCATTATATTTAATAAATAATTGGTAGTCAGCTAAGAGGACATTTCTAATCCTGCCAACAATAGTGTTTATCAGGAAATTCAAAAGGCCACCAAGTCCTAATTCAGTTTTTAATAAGAGTTATTCTGTTTTATTATTTTCCCGGTACTCTTTTAACAGCCTCAGATCAAACCCCCGAAGAGTGTAGCCAATTTTGAATCACCCTGTATTTATTCAGCCGCCTATTGCGAAAAACCGATGACTAAGCAGATCCTGTGATCTCTTACCTAATGCTGGCAGGCGACAGACTGTATGTGAAAAGACAAAATGTGTGAGGAAACTCGAGCAATTTTGGTTTTCTTGGATTATGACAAAACTTCTTGTTTTCTGTCCCGTTTTTCTCATTTCTCGGAAGCAAAATGAGCAAGAACGCTCGATAAGGAAATGTTGGCAGTTTTCTCAAAAAAAGTGTTAGATTTGTGTGTTTTTGTGTAGTTGGAAAATCGACTCGAACATGACGGCGCTTTTCTCGTAGTTTCTCAAGCGCCCATTTGAATCAGAGAATTCGTTTTGGTATCGTTGGATAGGGAATTGAAAATTCGATTCAGTAATAACAACGTGAGTGAGGAAATTCGAGTAGTTTGAAGTCAGAAAGCGAAATTTGAATGTTTGGCGTTAGGTGCAAGATTATGCCAAAAATTTCTTTTTGTCTTTTTTTTTTGTTTTAATTGATGAATGTTGAATTCTTTCTCCAATATTATGCTTGCTATTGAGCCACATTTACATTTAAACACTCAAGCAGTTCAATGAGAATTAAGGCCTATTTACCAGTGTTTTACTTTCAAATAGTGTTTCAGCTGTACGTATAATTGCCCTAATAAGATCTAATATTTCCAAACCGTATTTGCAGCCAGGTTCACACTCCCTCAAAAATTGGATTAGCCTATAGGGTTATTATCCGGTCAGCAAATTGTTCTTCGCATAGGCATTTTACGTATGCGGCATTGCATACTACACGCCCATACTTTAAATGCACGTCGGCATATTCGCGGAACGCAAATTCCATTAACATAATTAAAATAATTACGGAAGAATAAAGCTATCAGAAATTTCCTAGAACTGAAATTGCAACAGAAATGGTTCAAACTTCAATATTTGAAAAACATTATAATAACAATTGAGTTGCAAAGAACTTTTTTAGACCTATTTAGATGTATAAAAATTAACGTTTAATAATATTACTTTCCATAAACGTTTACTTTTTTCTTCATAATTCTAAATGAAAGTTAGGAAAAAATATTAATAAAAATTCAGGTTATTTGTGACAACTCAGTTTAACACTATTACCCCATTCAATAGCATACCAGAAAATACCTAATTAATAGCACATCAATGTTTCGTCCCTACTTAACAGAACATGGGTGTAGCTATATAAAAAGTAGGAAAAAGTAAAACTTTATAAGGTAATAAAGCGGAAATATCTTGTCGAAAATAACGTACAAGCAGTGTTAGATTCATCGCTCAATGCTCGGCATTTCGTTAAACAACTTCCAACATTAAAGTAGCTGACAAACATAACACCTTCCGCTCATTTTTAAATAAATTCCAAATTGTCACTGACAGATATGTGAAGTTCTTATGGAATTCCAGGTCTTCGAGGAATTTCAACGGAATTGCACGCTCAAAAGGTTTAAATGTTTTCTTTTAATTATTGCTCGAGAGCAATTAATTATTCGTGATAACTGGGTGCTCTCTATTTTAAAATTGTAGATTATTTCTAGGATAATTTACTTTAATTAAAATAACAAACTTTTAATAAGATAAATAAAGCTAATGTTTGATATAGTTATGTAGAAACTGCAAACTGCATTTTGGGAACGGCGTAAATATGCTCTTTAGGACAACTTTATTATATGCATGACATTTATTATATCCAGAGCGACTTAAAAAATACCGTTGAGTACAAAAGAACTAAATGACTAAATTAACTTTAGTAACCGTTGAACAAATGCAGTGGATGCGGGACAAGTAATTTAAGCAAACTTTGTTTAACCTTTCTGTGCTAATCGGTCAGCTGTTTTTTATGGTATTTTTGCACACTCGTTGTCTCTTTGCACATTAAATACATCCTGATTTCCTAAAAGAAACGGGAAACACATACATTTATCATGTGTATGCAGTCATATCTACTCTTTTCTACTGCATTCTGCATTATGCTTTATAATCCAATCCAATCGGAGTGTTAAGCGTAACCCCGTTTTTTTGTGCCATGAATGGATTTTGTATTATCACATCATTTGCACCAGATCTTAGTACAGATTTAAAGTTTACATCATGAATTATTTTCAGCGTTTAGTTATTCACATATCATATAAAATGCATCTGTATTTTCCAGATTAACCCAAACTGTGCTGCTACGAATCGGTTATTAGATCGGAAAACTTCGGCTCGGTTTAACACAATACGGCCATCGATGGTTGATACGAAGGACGAAACAACCGATATTTGGGATCACCGCTCGAAGTATCAGTAATCGATCAAAAAGTTTGTACTTTTGTACTGTTTGTAAGCAAAGGTTGTTCCAAAGTTATATGATCATAAATTATCTATTTTAAAAAATCTAATCTGCAATATACAAATCAATATATAGTGTTTACTGTGAAATTAGAGAATCGTGTCGATTATGTTGATTACGTTTTTTCAAGTCAGAATCGGTTGAAAAATAGAATAGTAATGAAAAGAATTCGTGTTCACACAGTTGCATTTAGTAATTCGTGTGAGTCATAACTGGCCAAATTTAATAAGGCTTAGATACTTCAAAAACGCGGACGTATTAATTTAATCATTTCATTCTTATTGTTGTAAGAAAATTGTTGCAAACCGAAGTTTTAAATTGGAGCTTCACAATTAATAAATAAATTTATTTTGAGAAAAAACACGCAATTGCTGGGAACAAGTCGAATTTATAGATAATAATTAATTAAAACAGATTCGCCTTGAATAGAAATTCTAATCGCGTTACTGGAATCGAATCCCTAACAGTTCAACAACTATTATCTGATAAATCATTCCTATTTACCTTTGCTGTTTCAGAAGCTTTAGCCCAATTTTTCAAGTAGGGCCCAAAAGAATTAAAACTAAAGGATTAAGATCAGGGATCTAGCAGGTCAAAGATTGGACAAACTTGTCCGTTATCACCTGTTTCCAAACCGACCCAAAAGATTAACCAGAATTGATCGGAATTTTTCAATCGAACTAATAATCTAACTCTAACACAAATTTTGGGGTTTTTTCGTTTTTTTCTTCAATTTATTCGAATTATGCAAGAAAACGATAATGCTCCAACTGGAAACATAATATGAAGCTTCTCCCGTTTTAATCGTTTTTGATACTTGTTGAATGCATTTCCAGCTCATACGTTGATTGTTTATGCAGGTATATTTGTATTGTATATCTTCATTACTTTTTAATATAGATAATAGAATAAATTTTTCGATTTTATGATATTAATGATCAGAAATTTTTATTTAATTTGTATTAAGTTAATAATGATTGATATGACAATAAAAGTATTTGCTGAAGGTTATCCATGGTACCGAATTGACTTAATTAGAGGAATCTGGATCCAAAATTAAAAGACGTTATAACTGACTGAACCGCCCTGTAATGATGTAGTGAAGGGAGGCAAATCTGCTGTCCAGAGACTTCCACATGTGCTTTAACTAGTAAATCATCAAAACGGAAGCAGCCCGGCTGTCTGTTCGCGCAGCTGCTGCAATATTTCAAGACGTCTTCCGAAATGTGCATATACACACGACCTGGTTCACACGTATTTGTTTTTCTTTTACTCCTTAACGACTTTTACACCTATAACTTCCAGTTCCCAAATGGGAATATCGTTTATCGGAAATCTCGAGTGGTAAGGGATTTCAGAATTTCATCAGCAAATCGTTAAAATAGCGTATAGGTATAGGTATTGTTAGCAAGTCAATTTAGTGCACACATCCACTCTTTATAAAGTATCGTCAAATATTAGATATCGCAAAAATATGGTTGATAAATGCGTTAAAACGCTTATAAGTTATGTGGACGTTTTTTATGTTGTTCATAATTTTCAAAACTTGGGTAAATTTTGCACGTTTTGTTTTAGGACTCGTCATCGAAATGCACGGCAAAGCTCACTATAAAATTAATTTTGTCCTTGATTTTAAGGAAGCTGTGAAAAATTATCTTCTACAAGTAGGTAGTCTTATTAATTCAGATTTCTCAAAAAGGTTGCTTCAGTAATTCCAGTCAAAGAAATGTGTTATCAGGCCGACACATTTGTATTTTGACTTGAATTAGTTTAGCAGTGGTTCGAATTGATCGGTGGAGAGCTTTTAACATCAAATCAGTTTATTTGATTAAACATTCGCTTATTATATCGAGTTCAATCTGGTAATAGTAAAAAGATTGAAAACACGAGAACAATTGGAATTTTACGAAAGTGAACACAGCAAATTTGCCTTTGAAGATAATTAATACATTTAACGGTAGTCGGTAGGTTCGTATACCTTCGGTGGAAGATAGGCCTTCTTCAGGGATGCGACCCTGCCTATGCAAGCCTAGGATTATCTCCCAAGGCCATACGGGGGAATCCATTGTCCTTTCCCAGCATCCCATCTGAACCTATAAAATTTCCCTAACACACTACCCTACACCACCTTCCAACACGTCTTTAGCGAACGAGGAAGGTTACGGAGAAAGAACCTCTGAGGCATGGTGAATTTTACAGAGACCAGAGGCATACCTCAGGTATGTAGTAGCTGAATTAATGATAAATCCGACACCTTGGAAAGGGTCTGCATCGAGGATTCTGAGGGAGGCAAAAATTCTCTAAGACGAAACAGCCATAGTACTATATGGTTTAGGAGAAAGAAACGAAAGAGGAACTACATTAATAGAATTTCTACATCATAATAATCTTTATGCAATGAATGCCATATGCTTCGCAAAATTGTTTATTTCAGGGAACACAAAAATGTGTTTTGTTATTTGAATGGGACGGTACAGCATCCTGATTTCTTTGAGACCCAGTAAGTGTCTGGTCGTTAGTTGTTGGTAACTGTCGACATTTAGCAAATACTATTGTATTGTGTTATTAAAATTTGTTTCAAAGGCTACATTGCTTGAAAAATTCCAATAAATTACTCCACCGGATATTCCATTATTACCATAAAAGCTGATAGAGAACGTTCATTTTCCTCATCACAACACAAAATTTTGATAATTTAGAGTAATTCCGGGAGAGATGAACACCCTTTTTTGATTCGTAATAGCTTTATTGACGTAAAAAAAATGTTGTCACAAACATTTTAGCTAACTGCAATCAGAACTGTAACTAAATACTAAAAACTCGGACACATTTGCTGACAAAAAAATAAAATAAAAAACCGTTATGTGGTCCAACTAACCCGAAATCTGCGGGATAGTTGAACCACCAATTTGGGACAGTTGGACCACACTGGGAGAGATGAACCGTAACAAATGATAAGTAACAATTTTTTTTTAATTCTTAATTAATAAGTTTTTTTGTAACATTCATTGTACATATTTTCAAAGTTTGTACACGACTCATGAAACACCTTCAGCAACTCTTATGCTAAGATCTGAATGACGGCTTAGGAAAATATGTAGGGAGTCGTACTCTGCCATTTTTGTGATTGCGTTAAAACGATGCTTCAACGGTAACTGTTCAGCAACAGCAAACGTTATATGTCGCATATCATTCCGTGTTGGGGCAAAACC